TAAATCTCATTGATTTTTTTTTAATATATTTAAATGAACATTTAATGAAATAATTACCGTTTCCAAATTTGAATACAGAATAAAGAGATGGAATAAATGAATGGGCATTCGGTAAATTTCCCAAGCATTCCAAAAGTGAGTTTCAAACCATTCTCTTCCAAATGCAACACGTTAAAGTCGTGGTTGAACTACTGCCCCTCTGCCAAAATAAAGTTTGCAAATGTGGAATCGGTCTTCACGTTCAAAAAACTACTGCTAGGTTCTTCCATTCCTTGGGGAAAGGTTCTCCCCCATTTGGCCAATATAAACTTTTGGGCAAGAATCACGAGTTAACTTAATATTTGTGTTATATCCGGCACTGAAGTTTTGTCTTCTATTGTTTTTAATAAATTTGCTCAAATTATTATTTGTTCTGTGAGCCACGTCCAATCCGATATTTTTTTTAAAAGGAAGATGTTATTGGTGGGTTTACCAAAATATGTTAATATCCTCTGACACTCATTATCGTTTCTTGAAGTGGTATAGATCTGTTTGATGGCTTGTTTTCGTAGTTTCTTGAAGAAAATGGTGTCAATAATATCCATCCACCTTGTAGATATTGTTGTTCATAAAAGTTTCCACGTATTTCAGTAATTAATTTTAAAAGAGTCCGTCTAACGGAAAGATTTAGAGATAAGTTAAATGTTGCCATCGAATTTCCTCTAGATGGATTTGATATGAGCATGTAAGCAGCAGACAATATGACTCCTTGCCGTTGTAATCAATTTGCACTTTCGAATCACATTGGTCTACTTACAGACATCCCTACACTGGCACGAATACAATAATTCACACGTCTCACTAAAATCGTCTGTGAGTGGAAATGACTACAGCCTCTTTTATGAAAAGACGGAAACGGAGTTCGCACTTTTGAGCGTTTTGAAATGTTATTTTTGAGCTGTTAATTTCAATGTTATGTCGTAAACTGAAGTTTTACAATTTTTGACTGAGCAAATTCATGTAAGAATTGATTTCAACTAATTTCGTTCAACTTGCTCTCAATTTGATACATTGTTGTTGATGATGAGGCCGAGACTGGCGCAGATATTCACTTCCAGGATCCATATCCCCTACAGAAAGATCAGCTGTAATTCTAAGGTAATCATGGTGAATAATTTTTATGTTCAAGAACGGAGTATGTTCAAAGATAATAAAAATTGAGGTGGTGTGCTGTGCTCGTGGAGAGCCATCCGTCAATTAGGCCTTACACACACAGTTGTTCGTGTCATCTTCAGTTAAATCAGGTTGGAGCCCAGCTCCCTTACCCTTGTAGATGAGTTTTTGTCAGAGAGACAAATGGGTTTCATGACTCAGGAGATGTTGGCGGTATGGAAGTCCTCAGACATCAGTACCGCCCTTCACGGTGAACCCTTACCTGGCTGGGGTGGGATGGATGAAAAGATTGTTCATCTTTTAACGGAGGACATAGGGGCCTCATTCGACAGAGTGTCGGGGCCTTCTATATTGGGAGGGGTCGTCTACAGCGTAATCTAAAGCTTCCCAAACTAACTCACACACAGTTCGGCCCTAAACGTATTAAAAATCTGCAAAAGTTTTGTATTTTTTATAAGATGGAGACAGCGCCATCTATTTTGTAATATCAGAACTCTCAAATGCAACTCAGTTGCGGCACCTGTGGACGGCATCATAAAACGCTAGCTTCGCGGTTTCTGTAATAACGCCTACTACAAAGTGAAATCTGAAGAGACTAGCGCGCGTATTCAAAGTTTGTGTTCTTGATAGGTGGCTGCGTTTTTTGCAATGATTTCAAAAGCGAAATGATCTTTCCTGTCGTTTTTGTGTTCTTTGATTCTTTTTCCAATTACTATTTTTTAATCCGTCTCAAACAACGAAATATTCGGGGGACTTGAACTCGAAAATTTGTTTGTCGATTAACTTCTACTGATACCAGTTGGGCACCAAAATATAACTAGTATTCAAAGTAGACTTACAACCCACAAAGTGGTAGCAGAACACTATTATACTCATGACCAGAACCTGAAAAAATATAAAATGAAACTAAATAAACTTATAAAAACCAAATGAATCTTTGGAAATCAGAAAATATGCTACAGTCCAAATCTGCAAATACTAGGTACTAACATGTGTCATTTCTCCAATGAAAAAACAGTAGTTTGAAAAAATAACAGATTAAGAATATATATTCAACTTGTTTTATACGTTCAGTAAACTTGGAGAAAAACTAGCTGCAAATATTACCACAGATAAAGATATCAAACTATCTAGGAAACAAATTGAACATTCATATTGTCTTTGTCACACAAACGAAAATAAAATAAGATGAGTAATTATGAATCTCAATGGAAAAAACTACTGTTTGAGTTGAAAATTATTAATTTTTTAGAAGATTCAGAAGTTTTTGATAAAAAACCTTTTTGATTTCCTATTTCTCCACCTTTATGCAAAAAAAATGTGGAGAACTTCAAAAGGGGGGGGAGCAATTAGGTCAAAAATGAACTCTTTACAAAGATGTTTGGTTCGCGCATAAAAATTACCCAGATACAAACTGGAAAAAAGACCACCGAAACAATTACTTCCACATGTACATTGAATTTCATGAACATCATTTTTCTCTATTTATATTGGCGGTATATTTTCAGAAGAGATCAAATTTTTTAGAAAGAAACATTTTGGCTTTCTACAAAGAAAGGAAGGAAGCAATTTTAAATTAAAACAGAGATGTAGGTATAGATCAAGCAAAGAAGTAACTTTCAGACACAAATTGGAAAAGAAAAAAATCGGTGTATCTCTCTGATTTTCACTCGACGTGAAAGTTCACCTGATTTGAAAGTAAAGCCCAGAAGTAGAAACTATTTCACATGGACAGAAAAGCCTCACTTATTTAAGTTCGAAAATAGTCGATACCTTGCCATTTGTACTTCTTGATATGCTGTTTACGGAAGATTTGAAAAAAATTCAATGAAAATAGACCAAACCTTGAAATAATTGTTCACCTAGGAAACCATTGACACCATTATATAAAATAAAACTCAAAGTTAAAATTAAATTATTGAATCATTATTATTCTGAAAATGGGAAAAATCATACATGTTTATTTATTATTTTTATACATTTTCATTATTATTGATTTGTTACAAATGTTTCGCATATTCCTGTATTCATTTATGTACATCATGTAATTTCTCGAACACAGATTTTAAGTAATAGTTTATTATTTTTAAGTAAAAGGTTGCATCGGTTGAACGCGTGCCGGCATTACCAATCAATTACCACTTCCCTCACCGTGAGGTAAGTGATCATTGGGTCCGAGAATCATGTGCCTTGAGTAGATGCAGTGAGGCAAGAATAACAGCCTTCCGGCCAATTACATCAACCTAGCTTGATCTTGAGATTTGAGAGGGCATCATTTCACCAGGAACTTCAACAATCAGAACAACGTTTTCAGCTGTTATTATTTTATGTTATTATCCAGACAACACAAAAGAAGCGCCCAAATTGGACGAAGTAACCTGACTTAGAACCTTATTCCAATCACAGATAGGATTTCAAGTCAGGAAGGTGACAAAAGTAGATGTGAACAATAGCAGTTAGGAAGATATTACATCACTTCTCCCACAGGTTACGTGGAGTTGTAGAACGCAATAAAAAGATCAGCCAATACTTGATCAAAAATTAAGAAGGGTCGTGTGTTCTCTTCCAGTCCTTATGCATCCAATGTTTTTGCCTAATGAGTCCAATAACATCAGGCGGAAGGATGTCTCAGTCGTCTTTCACTACGATTTTCCTCGTAAAAACATCTCTAGAACATTATACGTCTAGGACAAACTAACCACAGACCTTGTCTATGTCGCATTCACCAATGTTGTTTTGGATGGTTTTAAGTCTGTTCATGGACGCTCTAAAATCTGCCCAGCCCGTGCTCTCATAGTCAAACTTATACTTTTTAGTAATTGGTCTCGCTCTGTTCAGACTAAAGAGAATCGGACTACAACTGGAAGAATAACCAGCAATTCAATGGAAAGATGATTTTACAGGATAGCCTTGGACACTGAATTCAGGAAAGGGATGGAAAAAGTGGATTTGCTCTAAGCTGGAGAGAAGATTAACAATCACCCCAACTGATCACTTCAGAATCAGCCAAAGGTATTCAGGATGTAGTAACTCATAGAGAGCAATGTTGTAAATGGTCAAGTATGACCCTGTTCAATGAAATGATCCCATGTTCAGCTATTATTTCGCAAACCTACTCAAAAAGGCAATTAATGAGATTAGATTGAATAGTGAATACTCAAGAACATTACTTCAAGCATACCAAAGCTTTCAGTATGTTCAGTAACAAAAGAATATTTGAGTATATCTTCAGTGTATTTCAGAGCGATAGATATTGTTTTGTAATATTTTCCAAATTGTTAAATCACTTTCAGCGTTCCAGACATTCACTTTAGATTTTTTTTATATTCATATAACCATCTTCATTGTTGTTGCTATTTCCATCAATTCACACTGATTATCTTCTAATCCTCTCAATCTTTGAACATTACATCTCTAACTCCTGCAGTTTATACAAGTAAGATGCTACTCGTTCTCTGCCATTTTCAATTAATAATTTTTAATGAACACACAGAACATATAAAAAACAATCATGAAATAATGATATTAATCTTATGAACAAAATTACAATAGATACAATTTATGAAGAAAGAACTCGATTCAGTTTTGTGAAATCTTAAGTCTTGAACATCTTTTATGAAAAACATTTTTTCTTCTAATCCTCTCAATCTTGGAAAATTACATCTCTAACTTCTGCTGATTATACAAGAAAGATGCTACATGTTTTTTGTTATTTCCAATTAATAATTTTTAATGAACACACAGAACATACAAAAAACAATAATGAAATGATGATATCAAACTTATGAACAAATTTATAACAGAAACTGTGAAAACTATCTAACAATTTATAAAAGAAGAACTCTTCAGTCTTAAACATCTTTTATGAGAAAGATTTTGTCTTCTAATTTTCCTAATCTTGGAACATTACATCTCTAACTCCTGCAGTTTATACAGGAAAGATGTTACCTGTTCTATGCCATTTTCATCCAATGCCATCACACAATCCTGTAAAATATAATTCTGATTAATCACCAAAAACAGTCAAAAAATAGATATATAATAAATTGTTTTTTCAGGTGTTCGTTCGTTGTGTGTTCTTCATCAAATGTGGATGTTTCGCCATCATCTCAGATGGTAGTTCCAAGACCCAGTCTTCAAAAACAACTCATCACATTCAAACTCAGGAATTATAATATCATTTTGATGTAATTACTAATGTTTGGGTGTTTCGTGTTTCAAAGTTCCACGACGTGGCCTTGCCAGGATGACGTGGTCATCTGCATGAGCATGCAGATCTACTTCTCTTCTGTCAAGGACAATAAGTAGACCATCCATCAGAAGGGACAATACTGCTCTTACTTGGCATCCCCTGGTGCCCTCAGGTACAAACGAAAATAAAATGATAAATATGTATCTATAAATTGAAAAAAAATGTGCTCCTGGACCTGTAAGAATAAAATCTATACAGCAATTCCATTGCTACCTGTTAAAACTATCAGATTTTTGAAAGAGGAATTTTACCAACACAATGAAGAAACTATAACAAACCCAGTTTTCAAATCAGGAAATAAATCTGAGTTAGGTAATCATATTTGAGCACATTTTCGAAAATTGACTAGTTGATTTTTTGAGAGAAATGAAGTTATGACTGATAGACAATTTGGTATAGCAGTATAGTATCATAGTATCAGTAGCATAGTATCAGCAATCTTAAATTTTCTCAAGACAATTTGCCTTCATTAACAAGAGTAGCATATTATCAGCAGTCTTAAATTTCTTCAATGTTGATCAGTCTTTTTGGACTTAGCCAAGGCCTTTGATATAGTTTCACATCAAAAACATTCCTCAATTTTGTGTGTATGGTATTCGTGGTTCCGCTTTTGTTGGTGTTCCGCAGAATTATTTGTTTCAGAGGAATTCCAGTTAAAACGGTCTTAGGGCTTTTACTCTTTTTGATATTTATAAGTGGTATTTAGTGATAGTATAGATTTCAGGTCAATTATATTAAAGGTTGAAGATATAGCAATAGTGTATAGAGACAAAAAATAGTGAGATAATTAAAAGAGGCACACTAGAACAGTGCTAAACATCGGGTTGGGTGATAATCTTCTTTAAAAAAAAATCTGTTTAAAATCTGTTTTTCCGTTAATCAGCTGTCGCCCCCATACGAACGTCAACTCTCAGAAGTTGAGAAACTTGTGTGCGAGCTAAGGACTAACGAGGTCTTACCTTTCAAGGTATGATTCCTAACACGGTTGCAGAATCATTCCAGCTTCAACCAGATAAATTCTCTCGAGAAAAATATCTGGTCGAAGCGGGAATCGAACACACGACCTCAAGTTGTAAAGGTTCAATCTCAGGGTTTTTTGAAAAGGGGTTGCTGCTGATCCAATGAGACACAGGATAAGGTGCGAAACAATCTATTTTCAGTTCGAGGGGGAGACAGAGTACTTATTTGGTTGTTGACTTAGTTCTAAAATAATTACAAATGTTTCAATAAAATAGTTAAAAGTAGTTAATAAAAACTTCACACAAGAAGAATCTTCGAACAATCGAGCAAATATGGCGCATCAAAAACCGTTTTCACTCAGGTCTCTAGAGACGAAAAAAAATCTCGACAGTCGTTCATAAAAAACCTGACCCTGGAAATACTTTGCCAATGCAAAAAACCCGTCAAAATGAAATATTGGTTGCCTATCTCGGAGGGCATGAGGGCCATCCCTACTTATGATTAAGGACGGTAGAAAACTGTAAACAACTGGAATCTGCCTTCACTGCGGCGGATAAGTTACCGAGAAAATTCACCAGATGGCGAAACGATACTAGTTAAAATGGAAATAAATGAAATAGATGTGTCACAAAGTCTTTCAAAATACAATTATTAAAATAGTATTTCAGATACGTAGAAGATTTGATACGAAGCAGTTGTACAATGATACCAAATTACTAAACATTGAGAGTTTAAATGCCTATATATCGGATATATTCTAACCTATATTCAATCTGCATGAATAAGATAAAAGACACCAGAAACGTAGAGAGTCAAATTATGATCATACCCTTATTCAGAAAAAGCCTCAAAGAACAATTTTTTACTCAAGACACAAATAATGTATAGCAATATCCAAGTTGTCAAAATGTATAAAATGCTCCTTACTGAAACAAACAATTTGTTACTGATTAATTATTGCAAAATATTTAAATATGAGGACTTCTTTTTTTTTAAGACTTTCGAAAGAAAAAACTTTAAGTGAAATATTTTAATTACCAATGATACCTGTCATCCTGTGGGATAGAATCATGTATTCAGTATTTTCAATAAAATATAAAGATTTCACTGAATCTCAGCAACAGACTGCTGAAATCATAAGAAAATAAATATTTCGAAATAAAATCTTGAAATATTCATTTCTCCCAACTACCTACACCCTAGGATCTGGTAAATGCCTGCCGGAAAACAACTAGTTCCCCGGCTAATAGCATGTTGGATACTGAATTATATCCGACAGACATTTATGCAAGATACCTCACCAAGGTTAGTCTCGCAGATATTTCTCGTTCATCCAGCAGCAGGACCACGCTGATAGAATCGTCAGACACGTTTGATTTCTATCAGAGTTTTGGTACATGGGATGTTTCTTCCCCACTTGGGACTTTGTTCACTAGATGGAGATGTTACTAGTTAATAATCTTTCTTGTAGACGAAGGTTTCATACATGCAGTTGAGTCACGTTGAAATTATTCTAACTCCAGGCACTTTGCTGTTGGATCTTTCCTGCACTGATGAGAGGTAATATCGCGAAACCGGTCTGTAGGTGATCTACTCGAATAATTTCAGCTTAATCCTGCAGCTAGATGAACGAGAAATATCTGCGAAACAAACATCTGTGATGTATCTTACATAAAGGTCTGTCGGATATAATTCAATATCCAACGTGGTATTAGCCGGGAAACATGGGGGTTTCTGATATATCGGTAACAATATTAATATGTTTGTGCAAGTATTCTTAGTAAAAATGAGAAGAAAAAAATGTTCGAGAGGAAACACGTAAAAGTTGGTGACCCTTCAAAATTTGGATATTTTTTTTATTTTTATTGTGGGGCCCCTCTCCACAACAGACAAAATTTCTCGAATGTTATTCTGTATTTTTTTCAGAATGAAGATCAATTCTTCAGATGTTCCAACCCATTTGATAAACTTGAATTTGATATAGGCTCCAATATAAAGATAAATCAATAAATGGCTAAGACAAACCTACCATGTTAGCAACTCCTACGTTTCTATTTTCAACATGTGCGAGGGCAACAGCATGGCAATGAGTAGACACTATTACTCGACACATTGAATGCAGTAATTTCATAATGAAGACATTCGCTATTCCAACGAAGTCTTTTGGCAAAGAACCTTTTCCAATCTCATCAATAAGTAAAAGGGAGCGTTCGGTACTTCGAGTGAGTACTGAACAGATATCACCCATCTCACCAACGAAGGGGTATAGTGTTTTGATTGATTCATTGTAAACTCCAACTCTACAGCACACTCTGTCCATCACAGTGAGGACGCAGCAAGATGCCGGAACCAAACTTCCCTAAAAAACAAACGGAAAATGTAATTGTAATTCAAGTGACGTATTTACCGAGTCTTACAATGTGGGCCAAAATACTAGTGACGCCTACTTGCCGCAGTAATGTCGATTTTCCACTCACTTCAGGTCCGATAATAATTTTTAATCTACCTTTATCTTCAACTCCCAGTTTAATATCATTTGGAACAAAATTTTCTATGTTCTCACCACAAGGCTGGTAGCTATTTGTGATCGCCAAAATTGCCTGAAATTAATGAAAATTCACGGATAAATAATATACAGTAGCCGGCAGAAAATCTGGTACACTTTTACATGATTGATTCCTCAAAAAAATGTATTCTTTATATATGAAACTTGATGCATTATATATAACCCAAGAGCATAATCAGATTTCACCTTTTTCATAGTCAAAGAAAGCAAATTCCATCTGGAAATAAATTTTTGGAAATATCGAAAATCTCCATTTAGAATTGTGGTTTGATAATACAAACTATTCTGAGATTCTCATCTGGAGCCAGCCACTCACCATATTTTCCCTTTCTAGTCTGTAATATGAGGTATGTTGAAAAATGAGGTGAATGTTCTTCTTTCTCAAAAAATATATATTTATTCATTCCCTCCCCCCGCCAGCATTTCGTTAATCCTCTAAGCAGTTCTGATATGCACTTTCTGGTATGTCCTTGAGCTCTCTCAGGGATTCGGTTTTCATTTCCCCAATCGTCGCTAAACACCTTCCTTTCATGGATCTCTTCAATCTTGGGAACAGCAAAATGTCGCAAAGGGTTAAATCTGGCGAATACGGTGGCTGGGAAATGATTACGGTGTTGTTTTTGGCCAAATAATTACGAACAAGCAATGACGAGTGAGCAGGTGCAATTGTTTCTCCATAATACCGAACGTTTTCTGCGTATTGCTTCTCGGAAGCGGCGCATAACATCAAGATGATACTTCCTATTGACCGTACGACCATGTGGCAAGAACTCCTGATGGCTTGCTTTTTTGGTCTTGGCTCTCCTGGACTCTCCTGAGCTCTCCTACATTGGGACGACGATGTCATAAAACGATATACCCATCATTCGTTACCAGTTATCACCCTTTTAAGCAAATCTGGATCGCCATTGACGTCATTCATTAATTTCTAAGTGATGCTCATGTGACGGTTTTTTTTGTCAAAATTCAGCAATTTTCGAACGAATTTCGCTGCCACACGCTTCATACTCAAACTTTCCGAAAAATTGAGCCAACCGATATGCAGACTTCCTCAGCAACTTCTTTAATAGCGATTAGACGTTTCTTCATAACAATTTCCTTCACTTTCTCAACATTTTCATCGGTTATTGATATGCGTCCAGGGCGACTGTCGTGTTTCACATCTTCTTACATTCTGTGAAAAGCTTGTACAACTTGTAACAATTTGTTTGACTCAGAGTACAATCACCGTATGCCACTGTCAACATTTCGGGTGTTTTTGAGTACTTATTTTTTTTACACAAAATTTTATGAAAATTCTTTGATCCATTTTTTCGATAACAGAAAATCGCCGAACACGTAAAACACTTCTAACTTTCATGGCTCTCACCAACAAACTAAACATGCTAATCAGTGAAACTGTGAACATATGTTCGAGATCAATGTACCAACATAATTTAAACATCCACCTTATTTTTTGAACAGACCTCGTATAAACACCATATACAACTTCGAGTCTTTGCGTGGAGATTTTATTAACGGCAAGATATACAGGGTGTTTAAAAAACATACGGCCAAAATGTAAGGAATTTGGACTATTCTAGGGATATTTGGTCCTTTGGTGATTTTTGATAGGGCGCTTTGTTTCGAAGATACAGAGCGAAAAGGAATGGAATTTTGACAATAACAATTCATTACCAAGAATTACATGTAATGTTTCTTGATTTACAAAAACACCAGGATCGTTTTTGATTGCGTTACACCCAGCAGTTATCCGATTTCTTACATCTTCCACTAGAGTAGTACAAACTGATGACTTTAGGTGACCTCATAGAAAATAATCCAGGGGTTCAAGTCTGGTGATCGAGCAGGCGATAAGTGAGGTCAACCTCGACCAATCCAGCTATCTCTGTATGTTACTCTCAAAAACTCTCGAGCTAACATGCCAAAATGCGCTGGTGCACAATCGTGCAAAAACCACATTGCATTTCTCGCAACCAATGGTACATTCTCCAGAAACTGAGGTAGCGTTTGTTTGCGGTATACCTCGCCGGCAAGTCTTCCTGGTAGAAATACCGGTCCAATTAGAAGGTCACCTACAATTCCCACCCAAACGTTTAACGAGAACTGATGCTAAAAGCGATCTTCAAGCTCCTCATGTGGATTTTCTTCAACCCAAACATTGTGGAAATTCCTTATAGCATTTCTTGAGAAACTGGATTCATCGGTAAAAAAATAAGATAAGCGTCAGTAGTTGAGGGATTTGAACCAATGTGCGCAAAAGCCATTGACAGAACGCAATACGTGGTAGAAAATCTGCAGGAAGAAGTGCCTGTGGGTGGGTACAACAAGAATGTTCCAAATCTTCCCGTTACTTACATTTGAGGTATTTGCAATTTTTCGAGTAGAAGTTCCTGGATCTTCTTCCATCATGGCCAGCACATTCTCTTTTACTTCTACCGTCCTTACTGTCATTGGCCTTCCTGGTCCTCCATTTCGCTTCAGTGCTCCTGTTTCACGAAGTCGTTGATGTATACTTTGGAAGGTTTTCCTATTAGGCACATTACGTTCACTGTACAACCGCCTAGCTTCCAATGAAATGCCATCAGCAAGTCCATAAATGAAATGCATGTCAGCCATTTCTGCGTTATTATAGGCGTTCAGGATAGAGGACTCCACTAACAAGACTTTCAATATTGAACACAGAAAATGCACGTCAAATAGACAAAGTCAATCAGTTTCAACCTATTCGAGGCATAAAAATGATCACTCACGAGACATACTGTTCAAATTGAATGTCTGCAGCCGTTTGTAGTAATCGGAATGTTGTTGACAGGTACCAACGGAATTGTTAGATTTCTCATTACTTGGTAGGTCCAGTGTAGTATGTATGTAGTATTAAATTACCAAAATGGTTATTGTCGAATTTTTTTTGCCCCGTATCTTCGAAACAAAGCGTCCTATCAAAAATTACCAAGGGACCATGATAGTCCAAGATATAGTCCCTTAATTTTTTGCCGCATGTTTAATAAACACCCTGTAGAGTGTAGGTTAACATTTCAATGATAGTGTCGGGCTGTGATAGGTGAATTTATTAATTAACACACGACGTTTATCAATGACGAAATTTATTAACACAAAAAGCGCCACGTGGCTTTGACGAAGCAAACAGTTTCACTTGCACAAGAAAGAAATGTTACTAGTTTGAAGGCTTGACTCAAAGAGAGCTATTTTCCAAGATTTCTTTCCACGTGGCATAAACAGAAATTCAGTCCAGCCAACACAAATTTCGAGTATTCGACCACTCGATTCTCGAGTGTTCGATTACAGTGTTCGATTTGGATGACTGCTTGACAATAGAGAATGAAATGTTTTTATACTAAGTAGTTGTGGGAAAAGTTCCTACAATAGCAATGAATCTACCTGTCATCCACCTATCATCCTACCTATCCTCAAAACAGCTTTTCACATGACAGTAACACAATGTAGGTATTAAACAAAAAAAATGTAGAATAGTTGAAAGCAATTAAAAAAACATTTAAACAAATCACAACATATCATATGACATATTTCATTACATGAGCAAAAGAGCTTTCAAAATAATTCATTCTTCAATAAATTAACAATTATTTTCATATGGAAACTAAAATCTGGATTTGGTTCTTTGAAAAATTCAATTTGAATAACCACTATATATCACTTGTTGTATAAAAAATTTCAATAATTCAATTTGAAGATGGTAAAACAATTGGTGGAAGAGATGGCAAAAAATGATGAAAATAATTCCACTTCAATTCATATCAAATTTCCAAAGAAAACAAATTCAAATAAACTATCAGGAAAATAAGCATTAGTGAATCAAAATAATCAAAAAAATGAATATCTAGCTGATATTTTGAAAAAATAAATTCATACCTTTCCTTCGAAAGCTCGTACATCTGGAATGCATAAATCATTGGTACAAGTTCTGGCATAATCAGCCAACGAACAAAGAACGTCCAAAGTTGCTAGAGATTGAATGGCTGCTTCAAACAGTTGCTTTCTGAAATTAACAGTCAAAAAACCATTAATCAAATTATCTACCAAGAAGAAGTTACCGGGGTATTACTTCTCACTGAATTCCCTGAACCAGCTACTGTTTAAATTCAGAAGCATGTCATCCATTTTTCCTTCAGTTCGTAGGACATCTTCTGATAGTGTCTGAAGAAAATATATAATCGCAATTATATAGCAGAAACAAAAAAAAACATCGCATACCTTAGTAAAAGGAGTCAAATATAACCTTGCAGGTTGATCACCTGGTATGATACATATTAGGTCGTAATCATCGGTGAGGATGTGGCAATGTTCTTCGGGAACTTTCAGCAGTATTGGGTGAATGTCAGTCTCATAATACTCAACTGTGCAACCAAGAACTACAGACATCTCGTTTATGTAGTCAGTCGAATCCTTCAACAGTTCTTTCAGCCTAGTTTCGAGTACATCAAACTCTTCATTAACTCCTGTTTTGGGGATGATTTTCCCATACTTTTCTGTTTTCACCAAGTCAAAGGTAGCCTGTAATGACACAAGAGTATTACAGTAGTCCAGGTACAATGTAAGTGAATTTGTATTACATAAAACGACTCTAATAATGGCATCAAGTCAGGATAACTTCCATGTGGAGCAACTTGGGTTATATCTTTCAGTATGCTGTCTTTTACTGTTGTGTTTAGGGTTATAATCAAACAACTGTTTAATGTTGCTGATTTATTACTGACTCGCAATATATTCGGTCTGCGATACACTCTATAGTTTTTCCTAATACACTACACTTCAGATGTGTTCAGTATTGAGTACACCGTACTGTATTTGTGCCAAAAGAATGTTAGCGGATTAGTTTTTCAGCGAGCAAAGCGACAGCGAAACAGTGAAATAAGTGCGATATTTCGATAATCACAAAGTATATTTGATTTTTGGTATTCACTTGTAATTTGTTTCGAACCGACCAAAATTTGAGGTTAACCTTTGGTCCGTTGGAGGGATTCCTGCTGTTGTAAATATTCTGTCATTGCAATTGCTGAGTGATTATTGAATCAGGAGTTTTACAAATTCTCAAACGTATAAACAGCTGAATATTAGCGTGGTCCAAACAGAACTGGCTGGTATCTCAATCGCCACAAAAGAAATACCCAGAAAATGAATTTCTGGCAAAAACATAACTATCTGCACTGACAGCAGGCAAGCCCAATTAGCCAAGGAAACGGCTGAACTAAAAATTTCAGGACCCAGTGGCACCTACGGCCTGATGACTTCGACAATTGCGGAACTAGCCAAATGTTACACCCATGCTCAATCCCTAAAGAGGTAGGATGGAATCAGAAGATGCAATCTTGCCATGATCACCTTGGGCGATCCTGAGAAGCTGGCGCCGAAGAAATATCTGGTGATGACCAGGAAAAATCTACCCTTAACAGTAGGATTTCTGACTGGCCACTGTCAAGTAAGGAAACACGTCCATAATATGGGGCTAGTGGACACACCTCTATGCAGGATGTGTGAACAGGAAGATGAGACTGTCAGGCATATCCAATGCGAGTGTCCGGAGTTATCGTCAATAAGTGAGTGTGTGTTCGGCGAGTCTTGGCCTACACCTGCCGATATAAAGGAGATGTTTCCTAGTGACCTATCCACCTTCCTGGAAAAGACAGATTGCACGATGACCTAGGAGGACAACTCCTCGGGAAAATGTACAATGGTTCACATGTTCCCTAAGTGCTATGAGCTTACACTGACCCTCCCTACTCTACAGACACAGATGAAACACAAATTCAATCATACCCAGTGGAGAAGGTATAATATATATGAAGTCAATTCGGATGGCATGAAAAATAAATAGTTACGGAATACGTCGGTAGTTTTTTTGTTTGGCATGGGCAGCGTGGTATAATTTTTTTTTCAAAATTAATTTTATATTCCGTAAACCTACAAGGATTTTTATTGGTAGTAGAGAGTACTGTATATAGTCTTTTATTTAGCTGTTTCATGCTAAATATTTCAATTCGTTAAAACGTCTATTCTGAAAACATATATTCGAGGAGGTATTTCGAGGTTTAGTGGAAGAATAGTTCATTTTTATTCTCGTCACCTTTCATTTTCCTGTAATGTAATTTTTATTACATATAATGATTAATGATTCACTATTGAAGATAATAAAGACGAATTATTACTATTTCTATAAATGAGGATATGTTTGAATCGGCATACCTGCAAAAATATTTATTAACTCATTTGCATTTGCGAAAGCAGTCAGAGCTCTCAAAAAATCCCTTGTTTTTACTTTAGAAAGTTCATCTCCATTTAAAATAGCACGGCTGTCTGGATGAAGAGTGGCAACAAACTTATTGCCATAATCATAAATTCTGAAAAAAAAAAAATTAATGAATATTGGAAAACTGTAAAACAATGGTTATGTCAAACATGAAGATTGAACTGAATTAGAAACATCATTCCACTATAAGGAATTTCAACTTACTTAGGCAGTAATCTCTCCAAATCCGGAATTCTGTTCAATATCATTCGTGCATTATTTAACAAATCCTCATTACGATGCAATTCCAAAATAGCCTCCTGTCGCTTCTTTATTTTATTAACATCGCACAAAGGCTTCAATATCCACATTTGCAGCTCCCTACGAACATTACACATGATCCATCATTATAACTATACAATTATCACACTATAAATTTTATTGGAGGCGCATCAACAATATGAAGGAAAGTTGTGCAGCTGTATCCATAACAAAAAAAAAGTTTACCCAATGATCTCCTGAGGATGCTAACTTGGTTAGCGAAACGCCCGCCAAGAGACCGTAATTTTTGTTCTGGTGTTGGGAAAGTGCTTTCAATAGATGCATAGATAGTAACAAGGCCAAATTTTGTTAGTATTCTTTGATCTTTCTCTCACTAGCCCTTTCATGGACAGTCAAATGAAGTAAATTGAAATACTATAGGATATTAAAACATTGAAACCATATAATTTGGTAACAATGAAAAAAAATGTAAAAAGATATTCAACTTGTCATGCTTTCAGTTGAGTTACTCAATAGCAAATTGAATGTTATTGAGGATTACTTGAAACAAAATGAAAAGTATGAAAAAAAATGCAGTGAAAATTTTCTATGTGTTTCCATGAACAAAAACGCCTTCTCTGGCATAATTCAGAAATACTGCCTAAACGTGTCAGTGTTTTTTAAAATCAGTACACGTTTCGTTATCTCCAATGAGCTTCAAACTAGTTATCGTACTGAAATCTAATATCATGAATTCATGTCCTCCATTTTTGTCTTCAACCGTGTCCACTGGCTCATACCATGAGAACGTTGCGCAGGTAAATACATTGATGTCAATTTTTGATTTTTGTAAGTACCATACGCAGGCTCCGAGTGACTTTATGGCATATTCAGCATTACTTTTAGGTATACCTTCAATAAACAAGTGGAAAATTATTCAGATTGAAAACATTCGTAAAGTACTTCAAGGCTATCTTTCGGGGTCATAGCAAAAAGAATAACTTACGGTTGTCAGCAATCTTCGCGAATATTTCTGGCCATTGAAGATTGCCATCCGAATCGCGAAAATAGCAAGCTCTAGACAGTATAACTAGAGTGTCTGTGGCAGAGAGGAACTCTGTATAAGGTGATAAACTTTCTACAGGGACATTTTTGAAATGACCGGTTAGGGTACCAATTAATGATCCAATGTCTTCATCCCGTTCCAGCAGTACCTTGAAAACAATGAAATTGAATATTGTTTCAATCAAAATGTCAATAATTTTAGTCCTTCAGAACAGGACAAGATTTCGTCGAAGTCGGGTAAATGACTTGAAAAAATATAATTTTCAATACTTTTTGATGAATATTACTGGAGTTTTTTTCACAACACCATGTAAACTTTCAAAAAATAACTCTTGGGTGTCTTAATGGACATGACCCATGAATCGAGGGGCAAAACTTTGAATATGACTTTTTAAAGAGATTGTATTTACTGCTCTATCAAATGGATCTTCTGACCAGAATTCCTTAATAACTTCTGCAAACGCTTTGATTAAAGCACCCTCCGTACTAGAAATTCTAGTATGGAGGGATAATTTACAAACTCAAATGAGTTTTCAGCTGATGACCAGCAATATGAGGTAGGTACCTTTCCACTTCGACAGGCCTGTTCAAGTATAGCTATATGACAATTAACCAAACTGGTGGATTGGCAAACGTGATCCTTTGAGACGGCCCGCTAGATCACCTGATTTGACATCCTCAGATTGTTTAGATTCGTGAAATATAAAGTATACCTTGCACAAACGCATTTAATTCTAGAGCTCATGGATATAATAAGAGATGACCTTGAGAAATTCTTCCAGATGCGTTCCATAACGAAATGAATTTGTCACTGTTGTCAGGAAGCGAAATTTTCAACATTCATTGTAAAGAACTAAAGTGAGTTTTGAATATTTTTTCTTCCTGAAATTTATCATTT